CAGGTTTAGTAGAGTCTCGTGGATCGCTATAGAGACGTCTGTATTTATTCTCGGGAGGCTGCAGAACCTTTAGAAAAACTTCATATTCTTGAAATTCTTGTTGTGCGAATCTGTTGATCAGACTACTAAACTGCTATTATTCTATTATATCAAATATGGTGAGGACACGAGCGACCAGTCAGGATGGATGACCACCAGTACCACCAGCTGTGGCCACTAGAGGCCGAAGATGCGGTCAAGACCGTGGTAGGGGCAGGGCTGTAGCCCGCACAACAGCTAGGGCAGCACCTGCATATCCACTAGCCACCCCAGTTCATAATCAAGTCCCAGTTGTGGATGCTCTAGCAGCACCAGTTCAGGCACCAGTTGTGTCCATTGTGATTTTGGGTCTTTAAGAGGCCTTAGGTCAGATTCTATCAGTATGCACTAGCCTAGCTCAGGCGGTCTCAGTTACTACAGCTGCAACTACTTCTCAGGCCGGGGAGGTACTTAGACTCCCGCCGCTCACACACCTGAGCATGTCGTGCATGGACTTCAGATACTAGGGGCACCTCAGTCCAGCCGGTTGCAGCTATTCAGGACTATGTGGCTCCTGTTATGCCAGAGGATGAGCAACATAGATTAGAGAGGTTTGGTAGCTTCAACCTACGACTTTTAGTTGTGTAGAGGGTGAGGATGCTCAGGGTTTCTTGGACAAGTGTGAGAGGATTCTTTGTACAACGAGTATTTTGGAGACTAGCGGGGTCGCTTTCACTACCTTTCAGTTTTCTAGAGCTGCCTTCACTTGGTGGGAGGCTTATGAGAGGTGTAGGCCTGTTGGTACAGCACCCCTTACCTAACAGTAGTTCTCTGTTCTCTTTTTGGAGAAGTATGTGCCACATTCTCGCAGCGAGGAGCTGTACAGGCAGTTTGATGAATACGTCAGGGAGATTTGACTGTGACGCAGTATGAGATAAGGTTCTCAGAGTTAACTCGTCATGCTATTTGTTTGGTTCCGATAGATAGAGAGAGGATCAGGAGGTTCGTTGATGGCCTCAGGTATCAGCTTCATATTCTCATGACTAGGGAGAGGGTGTCTGGTGCTACTTTTGAGGAGGTTGTTGACATTGCTCGCGAGATTGAGTCAGTTCGTTGCCAAGAGCGAGATGAGAGGGAGGCCAAGAGGCCTCGGGGATCTGGTAGCTATGGTGGTGCTCCTTCGAGGGGTTAGTTCCAGCATGGCGGGGCCATCCATTCAGACATGCTCAGTCAGCTCGCCTGGGTTATCGTGGGGCGTCATCGGGTCATGGTTCTCACAGTTCTCATTAGGGCCATTCATCACTCAGTACCCTTCTAGCCTAGAGATCATCCCGTGCTCCATCAGTTCAGGGCTCTTCTATGGCAGGTGCATCTGCTAGTCATTCCGGTGCTAGGGGTTCCCTTCAGTCCACTTCTCCAGCACCTGGGAGCTGTTATGAGTGTGGAGAGTTGGGCTATATGTGGAGGCAATGTCCTTGTCGTCTGAGGGTTCATCTTAGTAAAGGAGACAGCCATCGACTTCAGCACCAATTACTTTACTATCACCCAACCAGCCAGCTAGGGGTGGAGGACAGTCAGCTAGGGGCCGCCCTAGAGGGGGAGGTCGATCAAGTGGTGGTCAGGCCCATTTCTATGCACTCCCAGCTAGACCAGATTCTATTGCTTCAGATGCCGTGATTACAAGTATTGTCTTAGTCTGCCACAAAGATGCCTCTGTATTATTTGATCCCGATTCCACTTTTTCTTATGTGTCATCATATTTTTCTTGTTATTTGGATACGCCCCGTCAGTCTCTTGTTTCATCTATTCGTGTATCTACTCCGGTGGGTGATACTATTATTATGGACCGTGTGTACCGATCATGTGTGGTGACTATTGGGGGTCTGAAGACCCAAGTGGACCTATTGTTACTTTGCATAGTGGATTTCGATGTGATATTGGGCATGGATTGGCTATCTCCGTGTCATGCTATTTTGGACTGTCATGCTAAGACAGTGACGTTGGCTATGCCGGGTGTGCCACAAATTGAGTGGCGAGGTTTAACTGATTATGTTCCCAGTAGGGTGATTTTGTTCTTGAAGGCCCAATAGATGGTTGGGAAAGGTTGTCTTTCATACTTAACCTTTGTGCGGGAAGTTAGTGCAGAGACTCCCAGTATTTATTTTGTTCCTATTATGAGGGATTTTCCCGATGTATTTCCTGGAGATGGCAGGGCATGCCACCGGACAAGGATATTGATTTTGGTATTGATCTGGTGCCGGGCACTCAGCCCATTTCTATTCCACCGTATTGTATGGCACCAATAGAGTTGAAAGAGTTGAAGGAGCAGCTTCAGAGCAAAGGAAAAGAGAGCAGCAATTTCACCATTGACAACCATTAAAAAAATTTGAAACTTTGAATTCGAATTTGGGTTTTCAAAAACCATTATTTGTTTGGATTGAGTGTTGTTGCAAACAATTGAAAATATTGTTTGGAGTTTATAGGCCGGGCAAGCTCCCCGTCGATCTGCTGATTTCCCTCCTATCCTAATGACATAACCGGATTTAGAGATATCTCAATTTTGAGGGTGTTTTGGTGAAGATTGGACTTTATTTTGGCTTAATTTCAGATTGAAACTCGTCAAAGAAGAAGAAGAAGACATGACATACATTATGTATTGAGGAAAATCGAGTTAACATTTGGAATTAATTATGTGACTGACATGTCAAGATACGTCGATCAATAAAAGAGTGACAACTGACAAGAGTACATAAAGAGACGCGAGCCTTAATAGGTACGGGCGAAGGTTCAAGAAAACAAGAAGGAACGGTTACTCGAATCTCTTGATAATTTGAAGAGACATCGGTGGAATGAACCAAGATAGCAAAAAGTACAGATACGTATTATCTGCAATTAATGAGCATAAATGACAGGATTACGATTGCCAATTATAATATTTTATTAATGCTATTAATTGCTCATAATGGCTCTATTATGAGAGGAAAGAAACGTAGTACTTAGAAATAGCTATAAAAGGAGAGAAATAGCATTTTATATGGGACACACTGATTATTATTGGAATATACTTATTTACATTGCGTTATTTTGCTTCCTTGGCTACTTCTCAATTCAATTTTCCTTTTTTCATTACATAATTATTTCTTTATTTGATTATCAGTAACCCGATTTCTTCTAAAATTAAGCTTTGATCGAAATTCTTATTTACTAGTTAAACAAATTGGTTTCATTATCGGTAATCTGATAATCTTTTACTTTCTAAATCAACAATCTTGTCAAAACAATCATGTCGAATGTCAACGACAATAACCAACAAAATTTACAGCACCAAAAAAATCAGCAACATCAGGAGAATCAACAAGGTGATGGAACTCCACTCCCCTAACAATGAAACTCTCCTCGACAATCTCGAGAAGGGACTCATGACGGATCTGAATCAAATATGAACGAGCAGTTTGAGAATGATCAAGCTATTGATGAAGCTTTGAAAAAATTAATCGCTCAACAGGTCAGTAATGCTCTTCAGACTTTTGCTAACCAGTTGTCGGCTGTACTGCCAATACTACAAAAAAAATTGGAATTAGCTACGAATGTCGTAGCTAATCTATCGTTGAATCGCTCATAGCTAGCAGAATTTCTTGATAATCCGTTGTTAATCCGTCACTAAATGACATTAGCGACGAATTTTTCAATTTAGCTACAGAATTTGTTCGCCGCTAAAATCAGATTTTTTTAGTAGTGATATATATATATATGCAAATCCTCACTCAGGACTCAGGACTCCAAACAACAACACCAACTCCAAAAAATAACATCGTGGAATATCCTCGTTTAGGACTCGTTAACTCAGGCAGTGGAGGAACTCCTAGCGAATCTTGTGATGGAGGGTCAGGTAACCCAGTTAATTCTAATTTACAAAGTTTAGTACTAACTTTGCAGAAACAGCTCAAGGAGCATAGCGATCGCATAGAGCAGATACCTGGATTGCCCCTCGTAACCAAGGGAATAGATATGGACAGATGCTCTCAACAACCTTGGAAGCCAAGTGCCGCTCCTTTACCAATTCCAAAGAAATTCAAGATGCTTGATATTCTGAAATACAATGGAACAACTGATCCACAGGATCACGTAACTGCATTTACAACTGGTGTAAAAGGCAATAATTTGACCAAGCAATAAATTGAATCAGTGTTGGTCAAAAAATTTGAGGAAACACTCACGAAGGGAGCATTGACATGGTATTCTCTTTTACCTGAAAATTCTATTGATTCTTTTGCTGAGCTTGCAAATTCATTTATCAAAGCACACTTAGGAGCTCAAAAAGTTGAAAAGCAAATGGAGGACATTTTCAAAATAAAACAAGGAGATACGGAACTGCTCAGGGAATTCGTAGACAGATTACAACGTGAAAAGATGATATTGCCACGTATACCTAATAATTGGGCGGCTATGGCCTATGCCAGTAATCTAAATGAAAAAAGCTCGAAAGCCACGAGGAGGCTCAAAGAATGCTTACGAGAATTTCCAGCAACAACTTGGAATGATGTTTATAATAGATACAACACAAAGCTGTGGATAGAAGAAGATACTATTATTCAATCCCGGAAAGATGAAAGAGTGAGTTCAAGATGAGCTGAAACTGAAAAAAGGTCCAGTAAAAACAGGTACGAACCTTATATAGGACCAGCAGGAAGGGATTCGCATTCAAAACAGGAAAACCCAAGGTATGATCCTAGATTAAGAGATAGAGAGTCAGGTTCATCGTCAAGGTTTGGAAAAGAACGAAGCATACGAGATACGCGAGACTGTGACAGAAGCTCGAAAGTAAAAATCGGCAGCTACAGTTTTAATGTTAGCACATCTAAGTTGGTGGCTATTTTAAGAAGCATGGGAGACAAGGTACGGTGGCCAAAAGAAATGAGATCAAACCCAAATAGGAGAAATCCTAATTTTGGTGCGAGTTTCACAACGACCACAGTCACAAAATGGCGGATTGCAGATTATTACAAGGTGAAGTAGAACATTTATTAAAACAAGGGTATTTAACTGAATTGTTTAGTGAAAAGGGAAAGCAAGCATATTTGAAGAATAGGCAGGAACCTCCAAAACCTCCTTTACCAAAAAGGACAGTTAATGTCATAAGTGGAGGGGAGAAGATCAATGGCGTAACATATACGGCAACAAAGAAGGTGTCAAAAATTACAGTCACCCACGGGAAGCGAGTTTGACAGGTTTTGGAAGAAGATAGTATAACATTTGATGATACAGATGCAGATGGTGTACTGAGCGCACATAATGATGCACTGGTAATATCTTTACTTATACATGGACCTAATGTAAAACGAGTTTTGGTTGACCCAGGTAATTCTGTGAATATCATTCTGTTGAGAGTTGTAAATAAGATGCAAGCCAATGATAAGCTGATACCCAAGGCACGCATCTTGTCTGGTTTTGACAATTCGAGCATCGTAATAAAAGGGGAGACAATACTTACCACATTCGCAGAAAGAGTAGTCAAAGACACCAAATTTCAAGTAGTAGAAATAGATATGGCTTATGATATGATTCTCGTCAGACCATGGATTCACGAAATGGATGCTGTCCCATCTACGTTACATCAAGTCATCAAGTTCCCTTCATAATGGGGCATACGACAAATCTGTAGTGACCAACGAGCATCTCGAAGCATTAACTCCGTGGCATATTCAAGCGCTAAAAGTGACAAAAAATAGCAATCACAAAATTCAGTTGAGGATGCAGCAACACGAGCCTCAACTGAAGACAAGCAAACAGATGTAGACTCGAGGCCTGATACTATTCAAGAATCGGAAGAAAATGAAAACATCAAGACAACAATCAAGGAACTGGAAGCTGTGTACTATTTGTACATTGGCTGGACAAAAAAGTCTACATTGGCATAAACCTCAGCCCAGAAATGAAATGTAAGTTGATTGAATTTTTAAAAGCTAACTCAGATTATTTTGCTTGGTCTCATTCAGATATGACAGGTATACCACCAGAGGTAATGACCCATAAATTAAATGAAGATCCATCATACCCACTTGTCAAACAAAAGAAAAGGAAGCAAGGTTCCTTCAAGAATTAGGTGATTCAAGATGAGGTACAAAAGCTTTTAAAAATCAGGTCCATCCGCGAGGTAAAGTATCCAGATTGGTTGGCTAATATTGTATTAGTGCCCAAAAAGAATGGTAAGTGGCGAGTTTGTGTAGATTATACTGATCTAAATAAAGCTTGCTCTAAAGATTCTTTTCCATTACCGCACATATATTAACTAATTGATGCTACTGCAGGACCTGAATTATTAAGTTTTTTAGATGCCTATTCAGGATATAATCAGATTAAAATGGATCCTCTAGATGAAGAAAAAACTTCCTTTATCACAGACAGGGGGACTTAGTGTTACAAAGTTATGCCGTTCGACCTAAAAAATGCTGGGGCCACGTACCAAATGCTGGCGACCAAAATGTTTCAAGAACATCTAGGAAAAACCATAGAGGTGTACATAAATGATATGTTGGTCAAATCACAACAAGCAGGGGATCATATTTAACACCTGTCGAATACATTTCAGATTCTGCGCAAAGTTAACATGAAGTTAAATCTTGAGAAATGTGCATTTGGCGTGCCATCAAGTAAGTTCCTGGGATTCCTTATTTCTAACTGTGGCATTGAAGTATATCCCACACAGATTAAAGCTATTAAGGAAATTCCGAATATATTTACGAGCAAAAAAGAAGTACAAAGGTTGATAGGAAGAATAGCAGCTTTGGGAAGGTTTATTTCCAAGTCATCGGAAAAGTGCTTCAAATTCTTTTCAGCCCTAAAAAAGCAAAATCAATTTGAATGGTCTGAAGAATGTCAACATGCGCTTAAAAATTTAAAAGTGTACTTGTCAAATCCATCGTTGCTAGCCAAATCAAAAGATGGGAAAAAACTACTCATCTACCTTACTGTTTCAGAAGTAGCGGTAAGTGCCGTATTAGTTTGAGAGGACCAAGGTAAACAATCTCTGATTTATTATGTTTGCAAGTCTTTATTAGATGCTGAGACTCGATATCCTTATTTAGAAACACTTGCACTAACATTAATTATGGCACTAGGAAATTAATGCCTTATTTTCAATGTTATCCTATCTTTGTAGTAGCTGCCTACCTCTTACGTAATATATTGCATAAACAAGAGTTATCGGGTAGATTAGCCAAGTGGGCTACAGCGCTAAGCAAATATGACATTACATATCAACCTAGAACTGGAATAAAGTCACAAGTTTTGGCAGATTTTGTGGCAGATTTTAGCCTAGGGTTACAAGTAGAGGCAGAAAAAGAACTGTAGGTATTTAACGGGTCTAATCCAGGTATTTGGACCTTATTTTCTGATGGTTCGTCAAAGGTAAAAGGAGCAGGTCTAGGCATTGTCTTGGTACCACCTACTGGAGAAACCATACGACAAGCTATAAAATGTCATCCTATCACTAATAATGAGGCAGAATATGAAGCTGTGATTGTAGGTTTAGAATTAGCACGAGAACTCAGAATAGAGTAGGTCATAATCAAAAGTGATTTGCATCTCGTAGTTAACCAAATGCAGGGGACTTATATAGCTAGAGAGGCAAGGATGCAACAATACGTGGAAAAGGCACGGGACTTGGTCAGACAATTCTAAACTTGGAAAGTCACGCAGATACCAAGGGAAAAGAATGCTGAGGTAGACTCTTTGGCTAATTTTGCATTCGCTATAGAAGTGACAAATGGAGAAAACGTTTCCGTAATACATTTGTTTCATTCAGTGCTTGATCAAGATAACAAACGAGGTAAATTACAATAATGTAACTTGGGATTGGAGAAACGAGATTGTCAATTTTTTGTAGTATAGAATATTACCTGAAGATCAAAAAAAAGGCTCAGGCACTTCACCAAAAAGCTACTCGTTACTGTTTAAATCAGGGCAATTATATCGAAAGATGTTCAGTGGCCCTCTAGCAAGATGTCTCGGGCTTTCTCAAACGGAATATGTGATGAAAGAAATACATAAGGTACATTGTGGAAATCACGCTGGAGAAAGATCTTTGGTAAAAACTATAATTAGAGTTGGCTATTACTGGCCAAAAATGGAAGAAGAGGTGGAAAATTTTGTGGCTAAATGTGACAAATGCAAAAGATATGGTAACAACATGCATCGACCAGCTGAATTATTACATCCGGTTGTTGCACCAAGGCCTTTTATGAAGTGGGGATGGATATCGTAGGTCCACTACCACAAGCCAAAGGCAAGGTAAGATTTCTGTTAGTACTCATCGACTATTTTAATATGTGGGTAGAAGCAGGAGCCTTCAAACTGGTACGAGAAAAAGAGGTCAGAGACTTTATCTGGCGAAACATCATATGCCGGTTTGGGGTTACAAAGAGATCGTGTGTGATAACGGCTCGCAATTCATAGGTGCACAAATCACAGAATTCTTCCAAAGTTGGCAAATTAAAAGGATTACCTCGACACCTTATCATCCAATGGCCAATGGACAAGCTGAATCAATAAATAAAGTTATTATCAACAACTTAAAGAAAAGACTAGAAGAATCAAAGGGTAGGTGGCCAGAGGTACTGCCTGGAGTCTTGTGGGCTTACCGAACAACAACAAAAACAAGTACGGGAGAGAGACCGTTCTCGCTTGTATATGGTGTTGAAGCCTTAATTCCAGTTGAAATAGGGGAGAAAGTACGAGATATACTCAAGGTACTGAAAAGTCGAATGAAGAAGAGATGCGGGTAAATCTGGATTTGCTTGAAGAAAGGAGGGAAAACTGCCTTAATAAGGATGGCAGCGCAAAAACAAGTTATTGAGCGATATTACAATCGGAAAGCTCATCTCAGATACTTCAAGATTGGAGACTACATACTCAAGAAAGTCTTCCAATCCACGAGAGCAGCTAATGCAGGAAAGTTAAGTCCAAATTGGGAAGGGCCTTACAAGATTCGTGGTATCGTAGGAAAATGTGCATATGAGCTTTAAACCATGGATGGCAAAATTCTACCTTCGAGTTGGAATGTTGTTCATCTGAAGAAGTACTATTTCTAAGGGAAGGAAATACCAATGGTCAGATATCCCCACTTATGATTTTTATTTTTGAATTGTTAAAGTTATACTAACAAATTTAGATGATATGCAAAAAACTAGCACACACTAAATGATAAATTTAGACCTAAAAGACACGTGGAAGAAACATAATTTCCGGTCTAGGGTTACAAATATTCTAATGGAAATGTAATGGGTTAAGCAGTCTTCATCTAAATTATACCTTAGAGTCTCGTATGTTTTCCTTTTCAGGAAAATGACCAATGGAAGGAATATCAAGTACTCAAGATTTCATACATCAAAGCTCAAACACTTGGAGGACTATATAATATACATATAATATATGTATAAGGAAGGCAAAGAAGGCTGAAACAATTAAATTTCAAGTCAAGCCTAAAACTCTACTCAACAAATATCAAGTTCAGAGCAAAGTCACGAGCCAAAAATGCAATCCTGATCCAAAAACCTGTGAAGAATACACTCGTGGATATAAATTTCAAAATCTTACAAATGTTTAGGTTAAAGGTAGTATTTCACCATGGGTGATAAAGAAACCCTTGGATTTTCTTTTTTATAAATATGTTGTAAAGAAAACAGTTATGGAAGAGTTATAGAAGATATTTAAATACATGTAAGGTATTATTTAGCTTGACAAGTTCGAATGAAATAAAACTTTTCTCAAAGTTATTCCAAGAAACACGTGTGTTCCTATTTCTCCCTTCATATGTTTACACTATTGTGAAGTTGAGACGTCTTCTTCATTAAGTGTCATATATAAAAGGGCCCTCTTTTATAGTTCATGCTTGAGTCAAAATCCATAACATTAACTAAGCATTTTTAAATGCAAAAGTTAAAAGGGTAAAATAAAAACCCACATATATTAAAATTGAAGTGGAAGCAAGTCCTTAAAGTTATAAAGGAAAAAGGCAAGGACAAATCATTAAAAGAGAATAACAGAAACTCAAGTCTGTTGAAGCAAAAACTTTATAATATTTAGTTAAAACTAAGTATGAACTTAGTCCTAACTTAATTATCATTATAAAAATCCCCGAAAAGACCTGGGGATATGTTGTTACCAACAATATTACCCCTAAATGGGACCAGGGATAAAACCACCAAATATTCTACCAACAAATAAAAAGTTAAACTTCACAAACAAACTTTCACTGTGGAGCAGGTTCTGAAGAAGAATTCAAGGTGACGTCATCAGCAGCAGAAGGTTCAACTTGATCAGAATGAGCTTGAACAACCATTACACCAGGATTAGCTTCAATACTTTCGGGAGTATCAGCCATGGATGAAGAAAAACTTTAGCTTTGCTGAGTCTTTTCAATTGTCTCCTTAATCTTTGCTAACTCAGCGTCTAAGTTAAAACCTTCCTGGCTTACCTCCATAAGAGTATCATGACACGTATTTAAAATGGCCCAACTTACTTCAACAGTAGCCTTGTCTTCAAGAGCTTCGTAGTCTCTTTCCCAATGATCAATTTCACTCTTGAACTCTTCTCTATCAGCTAATGCAGCATCGTAAGAAGTCTGTAAGGGACCAAGTGAACTCTCCAAAAACTTAACCTTATCAGAAGACACTTGGAGATCTTTTTGGGTCTGAGTGAGTGTTTGAACAAGCTCACCAACATAAACTTCTTTCTCATTCAACTGGGCCTTCAGACCTCTGATCTCTTCTGTAGCTTTGGAGAGTTATTCAACAAAAAACGACCCAAGAAGGTTCTTATCCTTGCCCGCCTGGTTGGAAGAAGCTTTCTCAATAGCTAGCTCCGCTGCCATGACTCTTAGTTGTTGCTCCAAGGTACATTTGTTCTCTTCTAAAACTTC